ATGGAAGAAACTGAGGGAAAATATATTGTGTTTTTATGCAATAATTTCTAAGTGACTTAACCATTTGGCTTCATCCTTCAGTGTCGAAGCTTAGTAATGTAAATTCTACGCAGCTTCAAGCTTAATGTGCTGGAGTATTTTAGGATATTGGTCTCCCTGAGATAACAAGAGGAAACCTCTTCAGTTTGGCTTCGAGGTTTGTGTTTCTTAGTAGGAGGCTTGAATTGATTTTGGGCTACGTATGTCCCAGGTTCCTATTTCTATTGAAAAAAATTGGGATGTTAGTGTCATTGCTAATATTTAACTGAATTAAAATTTTCTGTTGCACTCTTCACCAATCATTTAACGTGTACTTATGTACAGGCGCAATACGGGGATATCCTTCTAGGATCGCGGAATGACCAAAATACGACAAGTATGAAGTGTCTTCGGTGCTTGAGTGTCAAAAACGTAGAACCACTGCAGTTTTTCAATGAAGAGGGATAACGCCTGTAGATCAAATATGATCGAAACAGTGTAAGAGGAAAACGTATGCATTAGGGTGAATGTGTTGAAGCATATTGAATATTGGTGAAAACAGGCACACGGGAAGTATCATTGTGTGAGGAGAGTGAAGGGAACGTTGTAAGGTTACACAGTCCATAACATTAAATCTAGTCCTAAACTTCCACTCGGAGGAGGATAAATGTAGCCCTTGAGATACACGCAAGAGATAAGCTCAGACTGCTTTGGCAACGCTGACATATTTTGCAACGTTCTCGTTAAAAAATTACGGAAGACCTGGGACAGGGTCTAGAGAGTACGCAGGGGACAGGGTCTAGAGAGTATGCAGGGGACAGGGTCTAGAGAGTACGCAGGGGACAGGGTCTAGAGAGTATGCAGGGGACAGGGTCTAGAGAGTACGCAGGGGACAGGGTCTAGAGAGTACGCACGGGACAGGATCTAGAGAGTACGCAGGGGACAGGGTCTAGAGAGTACGCACGGGACAGGATCTAGAGAGTACGCAGGGGACAGGGTCTAGAGAGTACGCACGGGACAGGATCTAGAGAGTACGCAGGGGACAGGGTCTAGAGAGTACGCAGGGGACAGGGTCTAGAGAGTACGCAGGGGACAGGGTCTAGAGAGTACGCAGGGGACAGGGTCTAGAGAGTACGCACGGGACAGGGTCTAGAGTATGCAGGGGACAGGGTCTAGAGAGTACGCAGGGGACAGGGTCTAGAGAGTACGCACGGGACAGGATCTAGAGAGTACGCAGGGGACAGGGTCTAGAGAGTACGCAGGGGACAGGGTCTAGAGAGTACGCAGGGGACAGGATCTAGAGTATGCAGGGGACAGGGTCTAGAGAGTACGCACGGGACAGGGTCTAAAGAGTATGCAGGAGGCAGGATCTAGAGAGTATGCACTGGACAGGGTCTAGAGAGTATGCACTGGACAGGGTCTAGAGAGTACGCACGGGACAGGGTCTAAAGAGTACGCAGGAGGCAGGGTCTAGAGAGTATGCACTGGACAGGGTCTAGAGAGTATGCAGCGAACAGAGTCTAGAGAGTACGCAGCGAACAGAGTCTAGAGAGTACGCAGCGAACAGTCTAGAGAGTACGCAGCGAACAAAGTCTAGAGAGCACACACGGGACAGGGTCTGGAGAGGACGCACGGGACAGGGTCTAGAGAGTACACACGGGACAGGGTCTAGTGAGTACTCACAAGCCAACTTTCATTTATTTTCATTCTGCGAGCATTGGTAGTTACAGTGGATACATAAGCTTGTGAAAAAGCTTGTAAACATCTATCCTCATAAAACGACTAGCATGTGCTCTGAATTGTCTGCAGTCCAAACCATACCCCCGGCCGGGGGTATGGTTTGTTTGCAATCGTGTCATTACGATTTCTTGAGTCTTGTCTGCAGTCTTGGAAACGGTCTTTAGTACTTTTGGAAAAATATAGACCCTGAGCTGCACGTCTTTAACCTTCTGCACTAACGCATTTGGAAGGCCAACACATTATTTTTATGTTTTCCTACGGTATAAGAGATTGAGTAATACCTCATGTGTAAAGGAGGAGTCAAGGAAAGCGCCAGGAAAAGATTTATGACGTGAATAAATTCCACAATCTGAACATTCATTTTGTTACCAGGAACGAACGATAAAAAGATGGGAAGTCAGAACAAGAAACTGAGAGATTCGAGCAATGATCACTATCATGGATATTTGTCATAGTCATTTCACATCGAATTCTATGAAAGAGAAAAAGATAAAGTTGTACAGGAGAGATACGGGGGAGGGGATGTAGGAACACTAGCACGACCCTCTGCTGACCTAATGGTCAGTAGTAGCGTGGGATGAAGCCAGAGATTGATAAATAAGACACATGTGCAAGTGCAACACATGGGTATGTTTAGTTCCTAGTTGTTTTGTCTGTGCAACAGGCTTCTTCAGTTGATCAGGCCCTGTTCCACCTAGAGGCCTGATCATGTACCGAACCGCCGGGGCGTTGAAACCCGGAACACCTTCCTGGTGTGCAACAAGCTTCTTCAGTTACATACAGAGGTAATTTTATTACCTGAATCATTAAAATCAACCCTCAATTTGACGCAAGAAGACTGCTGCGCAGGAGACAAGTTTCGGAGATAAATATGTTGCATATTAGCTTATTCCAACTTGACGAAAAATATACAAAAAAAAATAATTTTTTTACCTGTTCAAAGTTTCACCTAATACTTTTTTTCATGTACATAGTAGATATGAGACAATGGTTGATATAGACCCGGGAGTCAGGTCACATGTGGGGTGTCATCGGCATACCACGATGGTATAATTAGTAAAAAAGATCTGAAGCGCGAACATTAAACGGGGACCCACCGTGTTCGGTAGATTATATCACTGCTATCTGTTTTTAAAGAGGATTGATTGAGAAAGTTGTGAAGGGTAAGAATCTGATTCATTCACGATTTTCTGTTTTCATGGGAGGTCCAGCTGACGTTCCCGGATTAAGTTGAGGTTTGTCAAAGTCCATTTCGGACATTATCTCTTCGGTAAATACCGACATGACCTTATTGTTCGTTATCAGGACCAGAGAGGGGAGAAAGACTGGCAGTTACCAATATAGGATGTGGTTGTTAGATGGTAGTTGTCTGCTGAAATGGAGGAATCTGTGTGGGCACAGCTATAACAATAGTAAAAGTATATAGAGGTACACGTATTTTTGCAACTGTCACAGATGGAAGAAGGGGTCACTGGTGGAGATAGACTGTTAGAAAAGGGAAAGTGAGAAGAGACAATAGATTTGCAGGGAATTTTGAAGTAAGCTGAGACTGCTGTGGAAATGTCGAAGAAACAGCTGAGACTGCTGTGGAAATGTCGAAGGAACAGCTGAAACTGCTGTGGAAATGTCGAAGGAACAGCTGAGACTGCTGTGGAAATGTCGAAGGAACAGCTGAAGAAGACTGTGTAGGTTGAAAGGTAGTGAGGGTGACAGAGGGCACAGAAATAGGAACATAAGAGATGGAGACTTCTTTAGGGTACAATGGTGTGTATGTGTTAAATGTATCTACTAGGCGCTGAGAATGTTGGAAAACTCTGGAGAAGTATATCTGTGCTATTTTTCTCTTGGAGACGTAGCTGGAAAACTGACTTATTGTATGAGACTCAATGTTTCCTTAAAAAAAAAAGAATAATTGTTTTTCAAGAAAAAAAAGAACACCAACAGGAATAAGCGGAGTGTTCGTCGCGGCAGTAATGACAAGTAAGAAGTTGGATGTTGGATAGTTTTTTATCCGATTCTAAGTAGACTGGACAGTCCGCCTGTTATTTGCAATATTTTGGTGTATAGCCAGAGCGTTTGCAATGTTAATATTGTTTCTAGTAATTCCGTTTTTTGACCCGCGAAGGATCCGAGAAACGTCGTGGCTTCGTGAGGGAGGGTTGATCTATCGTTAAATTAAAGCAGCCTTCAGAGGTATCAATACCAGAGGTGGTAGGTAGAATGTCAGTGCCAATTTTGGGAAACAGGTAACTGCCTAAAAGCGTTCCTGGTTTTTGAGAAGTATCCCAGACCGTACAGAGGTCGGTAAACACGGTTGTAGTCACTTCTGATCCAGAATAAGCCATTGTCTCATTTACGGGGTAAAAAAGAAGGGTAGCTTGTTAAATTAGACACATGTGCAATTCTTGGGTATCTTTATTGAGAAACGTTTCGCCACACAGTGGCTTCATCAGTCCATACATAGGATAAACTTGAAGAACAGGAGGAGAATGAGGTAATCAGTCCCTCAGCCTGGAGTCGATGTGTTCAGTCCATCAATCTTGTAGAATGTACATCATAGGGCCGTAGACGTGGCTTATATACTGTAGTAAAGTGAGGCGAAGCAGGAGGAGGTGGGGTCATAGTGGTACGATCCACTAGTCGAAGTAGGTCTTCGTCCAAAGGTTGGACAAGTGTTGAAGAATTCTTTGTAACAAGTTCCGATGATTCTGCAGTGTCTGACAGTTGTGATGAATGGTTTGAAAAACCGACAAGTTGAAGATTGAGACACTTATGCAACATATGGGAATCTTTATTCAGGAAACGTTTCGCCACACAGTGGCTTCATCAGTCCAATACAAAGTAAAAAGGCGTAAGGAGAGGACTGATGAAGCCACTGTGTGGCGAAACGTTTCCTGAATAAAGATTCCCATATGTTGTAGATGAATGGTTCACAGAACCGACACGTTGATAAATTAGACACATGTGCAACTCTTGGGTATCTTTATTGAGGAAACGTTTCGCCACACAGTGGCTTCATCAGTCCATACAAAGGATAAACTTGAAGAACAGGAGGAGAATGAGGTAATCAGTCCCTCAACCTTGAATCGATGTGGTCAGTCCATCAATTTTGAATAGAATACGGCATATGAGCGGAGAAGCAGCTTATAAACCGTATGGCAGGAGAGGTGCAGCAGTCGTAGGTGGTGTCACATTTGTCCAATGAGGAAGTAGGTCGTGCCCAAGGGTTAGGCAAGCGATGAATTCCCAGGTATTAAGATCCCAAGAAGCTGCAGTGTCTGACAGGATTGTAGATGAATGGTTCAAAAAACCGACACGTTGTTAAATTAGACATATGCAACTCTTGGGTATCTTTACTGAGGAAACGTTTCGCCACACAGTGGCTTCATCAGTCCATACAAAGGATAAACTTGAAGAACAGGAGGAGAATGAGGTAATCTGTCCCTCAACCCTTGGGCACGACCTACTTCCACATTGGACAAATATGACACCACCTACGACTGCTGCACCTCTCCTGCCATACGGTTTATAAGCTGCTTCTCCGCCCATATGCCGTATTCTATTCAAGATTGATGGACTGACCACATCGACTCAAGGTTGAGGGACTGATTAACTCATTCTCCTCCTGTTTTTCAAGTTTATCCTTTGTATGCACTGATGAAGCCACTCGTGGCGAAACGTTTCCTCAATAAAGATACCCAAGAGTTGCACATGTGTCTAATTTAACAGCGTGTCGGTTCTTTGAACCATTCATCTACAAGGGTAGCTTCAAGAATAAATGAAAAGAAACCAAGTATACCCTGAACTACGGCCCTCTCCACTCCAACAGATAGTACTGTTGCTTCCTAGAAACCACAGCTTGACCTACAAATTTAGAATCGCACTTCCAGAACTGAGCGAGCAAGGTTGGCAAACCAGGAATAATCGCCACTCCTGGATCCGAAAGCATCCTCCACTGGTACTTCGACCATCAGAGACCCTTCCAGATAGCCACACGACGTATCAGTGGAGAGTCGCCTGATAGGCCTTTAGGTGATCCAGTATCCATCAGGTGGGATGACAGCCACCATAGCACTAAAAACGGAAGTTACATGATCACTGGGCCGACAGTGATTCCTTTTCTTTCTCTCAGGTTGGGGTATTTACAATCCATACGAGTAATGGGAGAAGAGGAATATTTCTTCAGATCAAGAGCTCCACCATCACGACAAAGGATCTTCATTGAAGGGTATGGCGTATGTAGTTATGTTAGTTTATATCTGCGGTGTTTGGCAGCAGATTTTTTCCATGTTTGAATTCAAAGTTTTTCTGTAACCTTGCAAGGGTTATTAGGCTTTCATAGTGTGTACCATACAGAACGGTAGTGGCTTGGCCAGAGGAAAGTAAGGCGAGACCAAGCAAAATTATGTGAGGCTAAAGCTAAACCAGACGAGCGAGACTAGTCATGGTTGTAACCAGAGATGATGATAATACAAATAATATTAAGAAGAATTTTTATTTTTACTAGTACATATACAAGGTATACAAGACATAGCTGACATCAACGACATACTACCGTATAGAAGACATTAGGCTAAGCATTTCGGGCAAATTAAGTCAATTTTGTCCCAGGTTGCGACCCACACCAGTTGGCTGACACCCAGATACTCTTCTTTACTGATGGGTGAACAAAAACAACAGGTGTAGCCAAACACACACAAGGTGTTTACCCTTACCGGGAATCGAACCCGAACTCTAAGCGTGTGAAGCGAGAGCTTTGCCTGCAAAACCATGAGCCACCTTAATAGTAGACAAGGACAATTAATTAATGAAGTCAAGTCCGAAGATCATCAAGAATTTAAAGGATACACTTGGAGATATTAGAAAAATAAAAGCCTATTATTATTAAGACGATGTTGGTAACGTCTTAATTTGTGTAATATATGTGATTTATGTCTTAGGATATACCTTGTAGTTATGTACTAAATGACATATATAGTATCTTAACATTATTTCATAAGATAACTTTGAATTATTTGATATCTAATGCATGTTTATATTTTATCATAGTGTCATATGACTCATACGATTTTATAACAAGTAATGGAAAGGAAGCAACGTATTATAATCTACCACTTGTATTATAGTTTCTTGTAGAGCCAATAATGCAAAGTAATTTTCTGTCTTCTCTAACTCGTTTCTATTTGAATATCAGTTTATGTTCTTTTTTTTTGGGGGGGGGGATGTTTTGCTACTCTGGGTCTATCTTCATTGACTCTCTGATCTCGGGTTCTAACCCCGCCCGTGGTATTTTTTTTTTCTATCTTCATTGTTACAGAGCAGGTTGTGGCTGCTTTTCAGTTCTTATATTAACAAACAGGAATCTTCTCTTTTCGTGTGTTTTAAAACATGAGCGAGTTTTTCACTTCATCCACCGCAATGTGTCCAACTAGATTTGTGGAGGCATCCACATATTCCATGCAGAGTCCAAAGTTGTAATCTGGCTTGAATAGGTTAACACAGTGAGAGAAGGATGGCGACCAATAGCTGTCCTCCCTCCTGTGAAACTCATTCAGACACATATTTGGCGAGCAACAGATCACGAATGCTTGAGTGAGGTCCATCACCGTGTTTGGCAAAGGAGGTAAGTTAGCTGGAACACTCATAGGTATACGACGTCCCGAGCCGTAAATGTTACCCTCTCGCTGCCACCGCTTTATCCACCTGTAGACGGTGGAGACACTGGAGCCTGTCTTCAGTGCTATGTCACGTACTGTCGTGCCTTTCATCCACAGCAGCACGATCTTCAAGCGATCATCCATGTCTGTCGGTTTGAAAGCTCGCCTCTGCACCATAATATTCCTGTTTCGAGTCAAATGCAGAAAATGATCGTCAGTACATACTTAATATTATTACAATTATTAATTTTATTATTAAAAACATATGTGCTTAACCACCTTAGATCACACGGCTCTGTGAAGTGGAGGTGTGAAGGCAAGGGCTAGTGTGGGTGCAAAACTGAAGTCAAAGTTGATGCAACTCGTTAGTTTCTGTCAAATATCAGTTAAAGTTTTTTTCTTTTCACTAAAGGTAAGTTCTGCGTGCGCTCTGTGATAGATATAACGAACTAACGAACGAACTGTATAACCTGATAGTCAACGTATAGAAGTGTTGGGTATTTCTCCAAATGGTATTAATGTGAGTCAAATAATATATTCGATATTTATACGTGAGAGACTAGTTTCCCATGTCCGACAGCGATGGGAAGATGGCCAGGAGCCTAATTGCAAACTGATGGTAAACAATTTCTTGAAGAGGAAGGGGTTGGATTTGAGTTAGTGGGAGGGGTTGGATTTGAGTGGGAGGGGTTGGATTTGAGTTAGTGGGAGGGGTTGGATTTGAGTGGGAGGGGTTGGATTTGAGTGGGAGGGGTTGGATTTGAGTGGGAGGGGTTGGATTTTAGTGGGAGGGGTTGGATTTGAGAGGGTCTTGCACATCGGAGCTTGTTTCTTGGGTGGCATTGAAAATTGGGTTCGTCAAATGTTTGTTAGTGGGATAAATTGTAAAGGACCTGCCTAGTATGGGCCAACAGGCCTGCTGCAGTGTTCCTCCTTTATGTTCTTATGTTCTTAAGAGGAAGGGAAGAGTACGATATGGGGCGAGCATAAAGAGATCAAGTTAAGTGTTACTATCCTATGTGTATACTATCCTATTGTGTATCCTATTTATTGCGGCCAAATAGGATACACAAATGAATGATTTATCATGCAAACACCTAAAAGACCGTAATAAATAGGGTCTACAATGAATTTATCTAACATATGTGATAATTCTGTACTTCCGAAATCAAAACAATTGAGGCAATGGGAGGGTACTGAAGGAGCTGAAGCACCAGGTCCATCACCAGAGTAATATTAAGGAAGATAATGAAGGAGATGAAGCACCAGGTCCGTGACTGAAGCACCAGGTCCATCACCAGGGTACTATTAAGGATGGTGCTGAAGCACCAGGTCCATCACCAGAGTAATATTAAGGAAGATAATGAAGGAGATGAAGCACCAGGTCCATGACTGAAGCACCAGGTCCATCACCAGGGTACTATTAAGGAGGATACTGAAGGAGCTGAAGCACCAGGTCCATCACCAGAGTAATAATAAGGAGGATACTGAAGGAGCTGAAGCACCAGGTCCATCACCAGAGTAATAATAAGGAGGATACTGAAGGAGCTGAAGCACCAGGTCCATCCTAAACACTTAGGCCTAGTGTTTACCCACTCAAACTTATTAATACAAATTTTATTTTACTTTCTAGCGTTTTTCCTACACATGATTAGTCTCCTCACCAAGTTCTTGTAACTGTGTGCTGAGCCCTGATCTTACCCACTTTGTCTCTCCGTTCTATATTCATTTTCCATCAGCAATTTACTGGGGATATCCCTTAGCTCGTTTAGCAGCACACTTAGCTCACGCACTGAGGTAGGTCCGTGGTTCGATCCCCGGTATGAGTGAACGCACTGGGGCGTATTTCCTTAAGAAACCTACTATCCCTGCTCACCTAGCAGCAGGTAGGTACCTGGATGTTAACTGACTGGTGTGTGTAGCATCCTCTGTATAAGTTGCATCATGTACATGGACCCCGCGAATTTGGGGGGAACTACTGTACTCGCAGAAATTATTATTAATCACTGGCTGAAATTCTGCACTGCTCTACACTGAACACTATATTCTATTTTTCTCTTCATGATAATAATGATTCATGTTAAACTCATGTAGGTCATTCAGAGCAAAACGTTGTGACAGTTTGATCCTCCGTCCGCTGAGCCCCAGACAAACGCGTTTCCAGTTCGTACTTACCTCTTCAAGGCTCACTGATATTCCCTTGGTTTGATTTTTTAAATGAATATATGCACTTTACGGGTTTCACATCATGTTTACTGCTCTCTGTCCCCTCCAGGTCCATCCCCTCCAGATCCATCCCCTCCAGATCCATCCCCTCCAGATCCATCCCCTCCAGATCCATCCCCTCCAGGTCCATCCCCTCCAGGTCCATCCCCTCCAGGTCCGTCAGAAAAACGCAAATGTGTCCGGAGCCTATACACACGTGTGTACTCCTCCTGGCTACCCTTCTTTGTATTTTTAGACCCGCATCTGCTTCTTTAGAAACACCAGGACCACCAGGACCACCAGGACCACCAGGACCACGACCTGTATTTGTGTTATCTAACACTAGACATACTAATTTCTCGTGTGTTAACATACAGAGACCCAGGGGTTATATAAATATTGGTAGAATTAACGATAATATGTTAAGTAAAAGGACACAAGTGCAACTAATATGACATTTTATCGTGGCAACGTTTAGCTCTCCAGGAGCGAAACGTTGCCACAGTAAAATGTCACATTAGTTACACTTGTATTCTTTTACTTAACAGACTTAGAGGTTATAGCAAAGAAATCGAAATACTTCTTTTATATTATTTTTATTATTATTTTTAAAGTATCACCGAAAGGATACTTTTAAAAGTTTGACTTATTATATTTTGTCTTCAGCTTTCGATTTTATTTTGCTCATAACTCTTGAACGCTTCATCCAATCGGCTTCAAATTTTTGAACACTTTTGCACGATAAGTAGGTCCAGATTCCAGGAACAATTGGCATGTAACGTGGCACGTGATGAGAGTTGTTGAACTCATTCCCAGCATCCTCGAATGTGTCTGATAACTTTTAAAATCATCTCGACCCCTGTAAGCACAACTAGGCGAACACACACACACACACACACACACACAACACACACACTCACAGGGATATTAGGAAGTATTTCTTTAGTCACAGAGTTGTCTGGAAGTGGAATAGCCTGGCAAGTGACGTAGTGGAGGCAGGAACCAAGACGATGTTTGATGAAGCTCATGGAGCAGGGAAAGAGAGGACCTAGTAGTGACCAGTGAAGAGGCGGGGCTAGGAGCCATGAATCGATCCCTGCAACCACAAATAGGTAAGTACAAATGGGTGAGTAAACACACACATGTTCTATGCATAAGTTTAGGAGCAGGAACAGTAAGACCCTCGAGGCTAGGAGGGAGTGAATCTGCCAAATGGCGAGTTGAGAAGTGGAGCCAGAAGCTGGAATTAGACCCTTTAACTATATATAATCGAGTACAAGAAAATGGAAAATGTGAGGAGTAAGCAACCAGAGAGGTAGAAATGAGCGCAGGTGACTTTTCCTATCTGGTTATGATTAAAAATGATGTAAGAGAGAAAATTGGATTTGGAATGGAAAAGAAAATTTAATTTCTTTCTTGAAAAATTAAGGGATTTGCAATATAGTGTGGGGAGAGCTTGTTGAGCATTTGAAAACCGCTGTTCGGCTGAATGATAAGGTCACTGGGTTCACAGAATGAGAATACATTGAGTAAATGAAAACAGATGGACACACGTGATTCTCTCTACTGATGCGCCCAACAACCTCAGGGCTACCTACCCTACTCAGCCACTTGCTCAATAAACATTAGACCACAACATTCAGAGTATGGTAAAGGAAAGAACGATTAATGTGGTACACAAATGTGGATGGATTATTAAATATAAGTGATGAGTTTACAGAATGGATAGCAAAGGTAAACCCAGACATTACAGCTATCACAGAGACAAAACTACCCGAAATGATAACTGATATCATATTCCCAGTACCGAGGATAGGCAGGAGGGGATGACTGACTTTGTTACTTAGAAATTAGTGGAGTTTAAAAGAGATGATAAGGATATATGGAAATTAACCAGTTGATTACATTGTTGGGTACAATCCTAGCTGGGGGAGCCAGAGCGATAGGAATATTGGGAATAGTAACTTACAGTCCACCAAACAATAGGAGACCAAGACAGAAATATGAATACGACGACATGGGAGTGATTGACATCTTAGCAAAAACAGCAATGAGAGCTCCTGGCTACAGTGAAGTTATTAATCATGGGTGATTTTAACCCATGATTGGGAAAACAGGGACCCTCATGGGGGACCGGCAACATGGAGAGCTAGGATGATGAAAGTAGTTAGGGAAAACGTATAATCAACATGAGAAGGACACGATATGAGAGAAAAGATCATATCTTGTATTTACCACAAGTACAGTTGGAAGGCTGGAACGCAGGCGAGGTATATCATAATCTACACTTGGAAAATCCTTGAAGGAATCGTCCCGAATCTACACAGAAATCACTCCCTACAAAAGTAAAAGATTGAGCAGGAGGTGTAAAATACCCCCAGTGAAACGTAGGGGCGCCATTAGTACACTAAGGAAACACCATAAGTGTCCGGGGCCCTAGACTGTTCAACAGCCTCCTAACATGCATAAGGGGAAATACCAATAAGCCCCTGGCTGCCTTCAAGAGGGAGCTGGACAGATACTTAAAGTCGGTGCCGGATCAGCCGTGCTGTGGTTCGTACGTTGGACTACGTGTGGTCAGCAGTAACAGCCTGGTTGATCAGGCCCTGAGCCACCGGGAGGCCTGGTCGTGGACCGGGCCGCCGAGGCATTGATCCCCGGAATACTCTCCAGGTAGCCCCCTGTGTGCTAGTGACCATACAGTACAGAACTTCGTATTTCTTGGGGAACTAAATATTGAGGGTAGATTGGCAGAAGAAGAGTGTGAGACAATTTCAGAAGAGGGAACTTTGAAGTGTTAATAGAATTTCTAAATGCAACGCATTGGAAACGGAAGCTGGAAGAAAAACCACCGACTGAGATGAGGTAGTACTAGCTGAGAAGTGCCGGGAGGCAGAGGAGAAATCCCTACAAGAGTAGAAATCTCAAAAACTGGGCCTTTGGTTCAACCAAAGATGCAGAGGAAAAAAACAAAAAGAA